CGTAGGTGTGAATGTGAGTGTGAATGGTTGTCTGTCTCTATGTGTCAGCCCTGTGATAGTCTGGTGACCTGTCCAGGGTGAACCCTGCCTCTTGCTCAGTCAGTATGTTTACATGCACAGCTTAATCGAGCTATGCCCAAAATTCGATTTTGGCGTCTAATCGGACTTCTGTCCTTGTCCCAGTTTACATGCAACTGAGAAAATCGAATTACTGACGGGAACGTGTCCTCCTCCTCAACACTAGGTGGCGATATGCGTCGTTTCAGCGGGTTAATACGGTCCCCTTTCCGGTTGACCTATTACATCACTTAATAATAAACAACTGGAGTCAGGCGGCACACCGGCATTTTCGAACAACAGCAAGATGGATAATCGTACAGCTTTGTTCATCTTGTACGTAATGTACGTGTTACTGATTGTACAGATAAGGTGCACGCTATCCCTCGTGGTCATGGTGATTTCGAGAGGCAGACAAGAACGCCGTATGCTGTTGGAGGGCTACAACAATAGCATGTCTTGTCTGTTCCGGGGTCATATGCCAGCACGGGGGGTGTGGAGCATGCGCACATGCATTGTCTAGTTTAACTCCGATTACGGCGTATACATGCCGGAGAAAATCGAATTCCAATCGCATTATCTGGGTGTCTTAATCGGAGCTGGAGAGCTCCGATATTAGTCGGAGTAACGCGTTTACATGCACTTCAGTTGTCCAGTTATAGTCAGATTAAGGCAATAATTCGTTTTTTTCAAGTGTCATGTAAACGTACTAGCTGGGACACCCACGACCCCCAACAAGATAAGCAGCTACGGAAAATTAATGAATCATTTGAAGGAGTACATTGATTGGAAGGAACAAAACATGTACTGGGAGCAAGCCCTCTCAGGTGTAGGGGACACTCGTAGGTACCCACAGAACTCATTTTCATTCCAATGTTGAGGTGCAAGATAAAGGGACCCCTTTGAAAATGGCCATGCTAGTTCCATCACCAAAGTTTAGCCTAAATTTGGAGCTTCATCAACTCCCTTTCCTGACAAGCTATGCCAACATGGTTGGTACTAATAGATGCCTTAGGTTGTCTAGTTTCAGAAGATAGTGTGCCACAGCCTCTTCAACACAGTAATGTTGTCCCCCAATGATTTTTGCCTGGGGCAAGACATTCTCACTCGGACCTCGTCACATATCAACATTTGGTCATGGACCTTCCACATCCAGATACGACTTGAAAGGTGCCCTGGGTGCATTGGTTGTTGATGCTCTGAGATGCCGTGACAAGTTCTGCCTTACATGCATTGTCTTCTTTCAAAATACAGTCACATTACAGTACGACAATGCCAATTGATGCTTTTTTCCTCCAACAACTAACGAACACGGTTGGGTTCAGGCAACAAAAACACATGGTTAAGTTTTGGACAAAAAGAACAGGGTTTGGTTGTATAATCTTACAGGACACGAACACCACTCTCCCAGGTGAAAGTTCATGTGCGATTACCTATCCATAACCTCTCCTGCCCGCTCTATTTGGACTTTCGTTGCCTTAAGTTTCATTCTTGTCTCGCCCCCTGATGCCGCTGAGCACTGTTAAACTAAACGGCCGCGTATCATGCCGACGTTAAAGGACAGCTTTTTTGTCAGTGTCTGACGCCACAAGTCACTGCCCATGCTCTGGATTTCGATGACTTAGGAGTGAGACCAGGTTGCCTGGGGGGGGCAGTGGTGGAGCCAGCCATTGTATTACGGGGTCCATGCCCCCACACACCCAAGAATTGGAAAAGTTACGTCATGTCTTACACAAGAGCAGGCTGCTAACTTTTTTAATTAAATCAATTCATGCTGAGAAAAACAAAAACAAAAGAAAACTTCTTAACCAAGAGCTCAGACAGAACTCAGTCAGTTTCAGCTCGACGGTTTGTTTGATCACGGTTTGCATTTAGCGCTTACCTCAAACCGTCACAATCAGTTGACAGGACAAAATTGGGAAGATGGTTAGATAAAGAGATTTAGGCCTTCAAAGAGAGGATGTTTCCCTCCCTCTGAGGGGGAAGAGAATGAGGAGAATTGATATGATCTCTCTGCGCAGTGCTGATAAATGTGTCAAAGCAGGTGCAGTGACGAATCTCCGGAAATTATCATGTGAAAACACACCCTCCAGTTTTATAACAGAAAAGATGCGAAGAATTATAGGACAGCGACAGGTTCAAGTGTAGTGCCTCCCACTTGTCACTTGTCTTTGGGTGCCGGAGTGATGTTCGATGTCAGGTCATCATCACCCAGACTCACTCCCTTCCCCTCAGGCTCATGTCCCGCTGTTCTCACCGAGCTGAATTAAATACACGGGTAGAAACAGTTTCAAAGGTTTAAACCAGGTCAAAGTGACATGCTGCTTATCTGCCAGAAAGTAAGGAGGAACGAAATGAAATAAAGCCTGCAGGGCCAATCAACAGGAACACGGGCGAGTGCTTTGAAATATTCTTTGCTTTTATAATCATGCCACAGTTTTATTTGTGCACTTAGGGAGTCGTTTATATTCTACAAGACACTTTTTGCAGAACACCAAACTTTAATGTCATTTGCTGCAATGTATCACATCATTAACTCCCTGCAACATTTTCACAGATAATGCTGCTTTATCATTTTCTGACTTGTATCCGTGCAGGTTCATTTTTCATGTTTTGTGTTTATAGAAGCAGCATTTATGGGGAGATTGTGTATTCTGGTTTGAGCTCTTACTCAGCTCTCTGCTCATTAAAACTAAGAACTCCCTAATGGGTTATTCTGTATGCATTAAATGTGGGGATTGTCTGCTCCCCCTAAGGCAAACAAAAAAAATACTACCACAAGTGAAACAGTGCATATAAAACATACAGAGTCATTTTTGCACAGTATTATAGACTAAATGTGACACTCTCTGACAGGGATAAGGTAGGAGGCAGAAATGTAAACACGGGGGTTTGAAAGCAGCAAAGAACATTAACTCAGCAGACGTCACAGCACATAAAGTATTTGTTCATCCAGCAACGAGCCACTGTGTCTCAGTGGAGCCTGAGGGAACAAGTAGTAAAAGACAACAGATCTTCTCTGGAGCTCTTTGTGCTTTCAGCAAGTTATTAAACATTCCACACTAAATATGCACAAACTACCTCCAGTAAAGATTTAGTTCAAACATTTAAATGCATATGAGTAAGTTATTAAATGCTGGTCTTGCACCGGTGAAACAGCTTTTAAAAAATAGGTTTTCAAAGAGTGTATCCCAGGCCAGTCACCAGAGGAAAATGTTGGCATTGTACATTTCTGCAAACCATGAAATACGTTACATCTGCACGTTTTAAAAGAATCATATCAACAAA